ATATATTATGTATCTGTATCTGTATTTGTATTTGTATTTGTGAACTGTTGCATATACTCCTGACGAATGAGTACTTGTCGTGTATTGTACATTGGGTGTTAGCAAACATATACACACGTATTGATGTACCCGCACGTAACCCTTCATACGACTTTCAAATCGATTTTATGCATGCGTTGCAATTTTTGATTTTTTGAATGTTTGATATCTGATTGAAGTAGCTTTAAATTCGTGTGAATTGCACGTTTCGCTCTTCTTTTGCCCACATCCCTAAATCACGATCTATTTACACATCTAAAGCCGCTCCATAATTTTGAAGCACATAGCACACACTTCAAAAATTCTCACAAGCACGGACTAAGAAATTTTGCGTGACTATAGTTGTTGCAGTGTATATACGTGACATATGTATATATAGGAGATTGAAATGCCCTGTTCTGTGAACACTACGATATGTCACATTCAACAGTTGCACGCAACTAAACAAGCACACAAGTAGTGTAACATAATGTACGCTGTCTTTTTGACTTGGGATTGTCAATATTCTTTCAATAGTGTGGGAGAGCGCGCCATGAGTACCTTCATCTGTGATGACTTCTCTTTTATTAACATGGTGTTGCAGTAATAATCGTCGGGATCGTTGGCAAGTACACTACGATTACCGTTTTGGTGTCGAATGTTGAATATATTCACTTCGGTATGCCGTACAGTCAACTTGGTAGGCTATTATTTCTTCCTTGTACATCTCAACGACTTCTCAAGCATTCACAACAGTAGTTCCAGCCTTCTTCAGTGATGTAAGTCCACCAAAACATTGATCTATCAGCTTCCTACAGATCTCGTCTCTCCTGTTATTGTGTGCATCTGCCTCTCGCTTTGTTGTTGGGAAACCATTGGCCAATCGGATGATCTTCTCAGTGCGCAATGCCTCCCATAGGTAGTGCAACTTAAACTGTGTACGTTCGAATACGATGTCCTCGTAGTGTGGCTTAGCAATATCGAAGCCTGTAAGAGTGTCTAGTTCCGGTTTATCTGCGATGGAGACCTGAAGTCGCTGGCAGCCTGCCCAGATAATGAAACCAAGCCCGTCTACTGTGTCAAACGCACATTTTACATCGTTGCATACATCAATCTGTGTAGTTTCCACTCGGGTGTGGTAGTACAGTGATAGATTGTCGCATTTGTAGGCCTCTACAGTTGACGTGACTATCCGGTCATTCATGTGTACGGTAATATTCTTGCAGCCTTGCATGAATACCTTCGCACTTGGCGAGTTGATGGTAAACTCGCAGTCTGAACACCCCTGAAACACTATTGTGATCCTTATATGGCCGTCGTTGAATGTTATATTCTGGTTTGAAGTGCCGAAGAATACTTTCATGTTCTGCGGATTAGCCGCGCCAATCATTGACTGCACCCACGAGATTTCGCTGGCAGACATTTGCTCCCCAGAATCGTCTACGTCGACCACTACACTCTCATCTGGCTTTAAAAGGTCCTTCTTTGCCTGCTTTACAGTGCTTGTGCCCTGACACAATGATTCAGGCTTGGTATTAATTTGAGTGGGCGTGCTACTTCTACTTTTCATAGCGTATGACGATATTCCTGCTATGCTTTGTGTATGATGTGGTTAGTAATTGCGCAATGCGGTAATGCCGCAGGTTCCACTCTGTCTTGATGCTTTTATAATTCGGCCTCTGAGTTACACAGTGCAGGTCTGGATTTTACACAAACATATTTATGATTGTGTATAATGTATATGTTGCTTCAGCTGGTTGGTATTGTTGCTTGGTAAATAACTTCACGGAATGTAAAAATACATATGCGGCGACATGATTGGCCAAATCAACTCTCCAATTACACACGTCATGTTGGTTTATATGAACCCTGCCCTCAGGCTCACAGTTCTCTCTCTCTTTCTCTCTCTCTTTCTGTATTTACATAAATTTTTACAATAAAATGACCCATATTTTAGAGATTTGTTAAGACTGCGACCACTATGACTGCGACTCTCGCCTGCGACAATAAGACTGAGGCTCTCGCCTGCGACTCGTCTTAATTCTGACGCTCTCGCCTGCGACCACTAAACTTGACGCTCTCGCCTGCGACCCGTTTTATGTATACATATATCATAGCCCACTGAGAAAAACGAGATCAGTTGTTGATTATCCAGGGGGCTATGCATATATACATACATATTTATATGCATACATTCATATATACATATATACGTATATACATATATACATATATTCGTATAGACATACATTAAAATATGTATGTATATACATATATATTCATGCATATACATACATAAACAAGTACATATACATCTACATATACATATACATATGCATATACATATACAAATGCATATAAATAGTACTTATACATATCCATATACTCATATACATATACACATATACACATATGCAAATACACATAAATATAAACATAGATATATATATATACATATACATATTGCACATATACATACATACAGGTGTATATTATATATACATATATATAT